GATGTTGACTTGCATTAAGTGTCGATCATTTTGTGCATAAATCTTGTATTCACTTGCAGTGTCCTATAATTCATGTGCACCACATCCTAATTGTTACTCAAAATGGCCCAGCATTTCATTTCACATGCATGCATATGTATACAAGTTGTGCCAAGCAAGGAAACGAAAAAGCCATAACAAAGATGCTCATAACTCTCTCTCTCCCTGACATGCTAATCCAGCCCAGTTATCCACACTTGTCTTACACCCTTTACATGCTCCAAAATGGAGCAAAAACATTGCCATATACACATTAAACACATCCCACTCTCTCTCTCTCTATCTCTCTCTCTCTCTTACTTACTCATCATCCAACTTACTCTTCAAGTTTGGCTAACCACGATTAATCTCTAAACCTCACTCTCATCATTTTATTTATAACTCTCTCCTGATTTTACTACACACACACGTTGGGAGAGGGAAAGTGGATCTGATACTCTTATCTTCATTCAAGAGAATCATCATCTAGTTCAAGTTTTTCTTCAAAGCTTTCTTCATTCTTCTTTGCATTTCATCGTCTCTGAAGCTTGAAGACTATTTGTTCTCTGGGTTTCTCGAGCTTTTCTACTCAAGAACAAATAAATGGGATCTAATTTACTTGGTAAGGGATTTTGGAACTCTTTCTCTCTCATTTTTTATTCACAATGACATGTGAAGTTTGCATTAGCATATAGTTGGCCACATAATAGGTGTGATGTATATCAATTTTTGGAAACTAAGTTTGTGTTGATGTTTGAATTTCTAGACATAATTTTGAAAATGTGACTTTAACTTTAATTATCTATGTGATTTAGTGCTTGTTTGATGAAACAATTGATAATATGTTCATTTATGCCATGGGATCTACAATTTATTTTGTTTATATTTTATATTTTTATTGAGAATTGAAATAGATATGATGATTGGAACTTTAGTTGTTAAACATGCATTATGGTTTTTTCCATATGGTTTTCATAATGGTTAAGTGGAGAAGATGAAACACTATTGGATGATGACTGTCGTAACCGGAAAAAAATAACGAGTCGCCACCACTACTTTTTATCCTAACAACGGGTGAATAATGGCATAACCCTAATTGATGATACAAAGACTCTAAGTTCTTGACTCACTTTAGATAAAGAGAAGGTGTTAGACACCCTTCATCTACCTTGTTCACAAGGATACTAGGGTTTAGGTTTAAGGTTTAGGAATAGGGTTTTAATTTTTTAGTTAAGGGAACTCTCCACGGTTTTTAAGTCGTATGCCTATGTATCCTCTTATGAGGAATCAGGGTCCAAATTCGTAGTTCGAAATGTTTGGTTAGGTTTTTTTTATGGATTTCAGAAATATTTTGAATTAATCCTTGAACCAAGTCTGGGTTGAAAAAATCGAAATCATAGACGCGGTTCGTAGTTAATATAAAAGATTTCCACAATCCTTTTTTAAAACATCCTGATTTTATTATGTTAGTAAAAAAGGGTTAGCATTTGATTGGTTAGCTGTTTTAGAATATGGTATGCAATATGTAAAAAAAATTGAATGAGAAACAAATTTAATACAATTAGAAAAATAGGGTTAGTGTTTTAGAAAATATTTAATTAATAAATAACTATTTTATCTAATATATTAATATTTTTAATAAAAAATATCCAATAATTATTTATTAATATACAAAATTAATTTAATTTAAAAATGATAAAAAAAGGATATGTGATAATTAAATTAAATTAAATAAGATAAAATTAATTAAGTTAAGGGGGTATAAACATTAAGACTAGGTGGTGTTGTAGAAATTTATTCATCCCAAAAAGAACTTCAGCATTGGACCATTATTTTGCAAGTTATGTTTGTTTAAAGTTGGACATTTCAAACTTGTAAATTTCAACACTTAGTGCAATTTCACTAAGTTCTTCTGGTCAGCTTCATGCACCTGATTTCGTGGCCAAATTCCTCTATGATTAAGGCTTCAAATCAAGATAACTACAACACCAATCTTGCTCATTGACATACCAACTTTTCATTGAGCTCAGAATCATCTATTTTGTTCCATTCATCTGCAAGTTATGGTGATATAAATTTAATACATTCATATGCCAAAGTTGACAAGTGGTCTACACGTTCTTCATTAATTTCATTTAGCTATCTTCATGGCTATATTTGAGGGGCTTCTAGGCTTTGTTTCAATTTTCTCTTAACACGGAAGTTGCTCATTTTATTTCTCTCTTTCTATCAACCTCAAAAAAATTTCAAATGGTTAAGAATTCATTGTGTTGCAAAGATCTAAAGCTGGCTGAACATTGATGTTGACTTGCATTAAGTGTCGATCATTTTGTGCATAAATCTTGTATTCACTTGCAGTGTCCTATAATTCACGCGCACCACAGCCTAATTGTTACTCAAAATGGCCCAGCATTTCATTTCACATGCATGCATATGTATACAAGTTGTGCCAAGCAAGGAAATGAAAAAACCATAACAAAGATGCTCATAACTCTCTCTCTCTCCCTGACATGTTAATCCAGCCCAGTTACCCACACTTGTCTTACACCCTTTACATGCTCCAAAATGGAGCAAAAACATTGCCATATACACATTAAACACATCCTCTCTCTCTCTCTCTCTCTCTCTCTCTCTCTCTCTCTCTCTCTCTCTCTCTCTCTCTCTCTCTCTCTTACTTACTCATCATCCAACTTACTCTTCAAGTTTGGCTAACCACGATTAATCTCTAAACCTCACTCTCATCATTTTATTTATAACTCTCTCCTGATTTTACTAAACACACGCGTTGGGAGAGGGAAAGTGGATCTGATACTCTTATCTTCATTCAAGAGAATCATCATCTGGTTCAAGTTTTTCTTCAAAGCTTTCTTCATTCTTCTTTGCATTTCATCATCTCTGAAGCTTGAAGACTATTTGTTCTCTGGGTTTCTCGAGCTTTTCTACTCAAGAACAAATAAATGGGATCTAATTTACTTGGTAAGGGATTTTGGAACTCTTTCTCTCTCATTTTTTATTCATAATGACATGTGAAGTTTGCATTACCATATAGTTGGCCATATAATAGGTGTGATGTATATCAATTTTTGGAAACTAAGTTTGTGTTGATGTTTGAATTTCTAGACATAATTTTGAAAATGTGACTTTAACTTTAATTATCTATGTGATTTAGTGCTTGTTTGATGAAACAATTGATAATATGTTCATCTATGCCATGGGATCTACAATTTATTTTGTTTATATTTTATATTTTTATTGAGAATTGAAATAGATATGATGATTGGAACTTTAGTTGTTAAACATGCATTATGGTTTTTTCCATATGGTTTTCATAATGGTTAAGTGGAGAAGATGAAACACTATTGGATGATGACTGTCGTAACCGGAAAAAATAACGAGTCGCCACCACTACTTTTTATCCTAACAACGGGTGAATAATGGCATAACCCTAATTGATGATACAGAGACTCTAAGTTCTTGACTCACTTTAGATGAAGAGAAGGTGTTAGACACCCTTCATCTACCTTGTTCACAAGGATACTAGGGTTTAGGTTTAAGGTTTAGGAATAGGGTTTTAATGTTTTAGTTAGGGGAACTCGCCACGGTTTTCAAGTCGTATGCCTATGTATCCTCTTATGAGGAATCAAAGTCCCAATTCGTAGTTCAAAATGTTTGGTTAGTTTTTTTTATGGATGTGGAAATATTTTGAATTAATCCTTGAACCAAGTCTGGGTTGAAAATAGTGGAATCATAGACGCGGTTCGTAGTTAATTTAAAAGATTTTCACAATACTTTTTAAAAAAAATCTTGAGTTAATTATGTTAGTAAAAAAGGGTTAACATTTGATTGATTAGGTGTTTTAGAATATGTTATGCAATATCTAAAAAAATAAATTTGAATAAGAAACAGATTTAATACAATCATAAAAGTAGGGTTAATGTTTTAGAAAGTATTTAATTAATAAATAACTATTTTTTCTAATATATTAATACTTTTAATAAAAAATATACAATAATTATTTATTAATATACAAAATTATTTTAATGAAAAAATGATAAAAAATAGATGGTGTTGGGGGGTATAAACATTAAGACTAGATGGTGTTGTAGAAATTTATTTAGCCCCAAAAGAACATCATCATTGGACCATTATTTTGCAAGTGATGTTTATTTAAAGTTGGAAATTTCAAACTTGTAAATTTCAACACTTAGTGAAATTTCACTAAGTTCTTCTAGTCAGCTTCATGCACCTGATTTCGTGGCCAAATTCCTCTATAGTCCAGGCTTCAAATCAAAATAACTACAACACCAATCTTGCTCATTGACATGCCAAATTTTCATTGAGCTCAAAATCATCTATTTTGATCCATTTATTTGCAAGTTATCGTGATATAAAGTTAATAAATTCATATGCCAAAGATGATAAGTGATCTACACGTTTTTCATTAGTTTCATTTAGTTATCTTCATGGCCATATTTGAAGGGCTTCTAGGCTTTGTTTCAATTTTCTCTTAACATGGAAGTTGCTCATTTTATTTATCTCTTTCTATCAACCTCAAAATTATTTCAAATGGTTAAGAATTTATCATGTTGAAAAGAGCTAAAGTTGGCTGAACATTGATGTTGGCTTGCATTAAGTGTCGGTCAATTTGTGCGCAAATCTTGTATTCACTTGCAGTGGGATATAACTCACGCGCACCACATCCCAATTGTTACTCAAAATTGCCCAACATTTATTTTCACATGCATGCATATGTATACAAGCTGTGCCAAACAAGGAAAGGAGAAAACCATAACAAAGTTGCTCATAACTCTCTCTCTCTCTCATGTGCCAATCCAGCCCACTTCTCCACACTTATCTTACCCCCTTTACATGCTCCAAAATAGAGAAAAAATATTGCCATATACACACTAAACACATCCCTCTCTCTCTTACTTACTCATCATCCAACTCACTCCAAGTTTGGCTAACCACAGTTAATCTCTAAACCTCACTCTCATCATTTTATTTATAACTCTCTCCTCATCTTATTACACACACGCGTTGGGAGAGAGAAAGTGGATCTGATACTCTTATCTTCATTCAAGAAAATCATCATATGGTTCAAGTTTTTCTTCAAAGCTCTCTTCATTCTTCTTTCCATTTCACCGACTCTGAAGCTTGAAGACTATTTGTTTTATGGGTTTCTTGAGCTTTTATACTCAAGAACAAAGAAACTTGATCTACTTTACTTGGTAAGGGCTTTTGGAACTTTTTCTCTCTCATTTTTTATTCACAATTCCATGAGATGTTTGCATTTGCATATAGCTGGCCACACAATAGGTGTGATGTATATCAATTTATGGAAACTAAGCTTGTGTTGATGTTTGAATTTCTGAACATAATTTTGAAATTGTGACTTTAACTCTAATTATCTATGTGATTTAGTGTTTGTTTTATGATACAATTTATTCTATGTTCATCTATGCCATGGGATCTACAATTTTCGTGTTTAGATTTTTCATTTTTATCAAGAATTGAAAGAGATATGATGATTGGAACTTGAGTTGTTAAACATGTGTTAGGGTTTTTTCCATCTGGTTTTCATAATGGTTGAGTGTAAAATATGAAACACTATTGGATGATGACTGTCGTAACCGACAAAATATAACGAGTCGCCACCACTACTTTTTGTCCTAACAACGGGTGAATAATGGAATTACCCTAATTGATGATACAAAGATTCTAAGTTCTTGACTCACTTTGGATGAAGGGAATGTGTTAGACACCTTTCTACATTGTTCACAAGGATACTAGAGTTTAGGTTTAAGGTTTAGGAATAAGGTTTTAATTTTTTAGTTAGGGGAACTTGCTACGATTTTTAAGTCGTATGCCTATGTATCCTCTTATGAGGAATCAAAGTCTCAATTTGTAGTTCGAAATGTTTGGTTAGTTTTTTTTATGGACTGTGAACATATTTTAAATTAATCCTTGAACCAAGTCTGGGTTGAAAATAGCGGAATCATAGACACAATTTGTAGTTAATATAAAAGATTTTCACAATCCTTTTTAAAAACATCTTGAGTTAATTATGTTAGTAAAAAAGGGTTAACATTTGATTGGTTAGGTGTTTTAGAATATGTTATGCAATATGTAAAAAAAAATTGAATGAGAAACAAATTTAATACAATCAGAAAAATAGGGTTAGTGTTTTAGAAAATATTTAATTAATAAATAACTAGTTTTTTCAAATATATTAATATTTTTAATAAAAATATCCAATAATTATTTATTAATATACAAAATTATTTTAATGTAAAAATGATAAAAAATAAAATGTGATTATTAAATTAAATTAAATAAGAAAATAAGATAAAATTAATTAATTAAGTTAAGGGGGTATAAACATTAAGACTATGTGATGTATAAATTTATTTTGGTCCAAAAGAAATTCTGAGTCCAAATTGACTGGAGGTGTGTTTTGTAACTAGATAGTAAAACTGGGGTGTAAATAATAAGGGCCCAAGTTCATAAATTGAACTTTGCCTAATTGCGCAGGGAGGGTTATTTAATTAGTTTGGTAGTAATCTCTGAGGTCTGAGTAGCAATGAGTTTGAGGTCTAATTTATTTCTAAATGAATCTACCTAACTTCTATAAGGTAAGAAATTAAATAAATATAATTAAGTTCTATTATTGACAATTGTTGATTCTCCAAATGACTGGAGGTGGGAGTTTGTTCTTAGGCCATTGTCTGTTCAAGACAACGACCCAAATATTATTGACAATTGTTGATTCTTCAAATGATTGTTGATTCTCCAAATAATTGTTGATTCTCCAAATGATTGTTGATGGAAAAATTTTAGGTGTTCTGTTCAAAACCCTAAAATTAACCAAAAGAGTTGCGTAGAAAGAATGTTTGTGAGGGAGAGATAAAAAATGATGGAATTGTTGATGAAAAGTTATGGTGAAGAGAGCCATATTTATAAAATTAGAAATTAGGTTCAAGACACCAAAAAGGAAATTACTCAACATAAAAGGCTCAAATTTTTATCTTGGTAAGCAAGTTTAAGAATCTGGTTCTATTTGTGACTTTATACAAGATATGATTTCACAAATGTTTAAACTGACAAAGATTTCATTTATTTTTAGATTTTTTGGCTATTTATTTTGCATAAAATAATGATTTTAATAAAAAATAATATTTTAAAATATATTAAATATAAGAAAACAAAAACTTTTTTTATGATATTTTTGGAATGATTTATAAAAACTGAGACTTGATTGAAACTTGGAGGACAAGAATATAAACCTAGACATTTTTGTGATTTTTCTCAATATTGTGATTGATTTGGTGACTAATGAAAATTGATTTTGAAATATTTCGATTATTTTTAATATTTTGACTATTATGCGTATAAAATCAAAGATATACAAAAATAAAAAAAATAAAAAAATACCCTTAACAAAGAAAACAAAAATAATAATAAAATAATTGAAAAATAACTTTATGGAAGGTAGTTTGTTGTCGAGATTTGTTACTCCAATGAATGGTAGCCTTGTCATTATGGAAGGTAGTTTGTTGTTGAGATTTGTTACTTGAATGAATGGTAGCCTTGTCATTATGGAAGGTAGTTCGTTGTTGAGATTTGTTACTCCAATAAATGGTAGCCTTGTCGTTATGGAAGGTAGTTTGTTGTTGATATCTTTTTCCTGTGAATGGTAGCCTTGTCATTATGGAAGTTAGTTCGTCATTGAGATTATATTGCTCTGAAGAAGTTCATTTGTTTTTAGTCATGAATAATGACTACTTATTTAAATTTACTGGTATTATTTTACAATTTCTTTCCATGGTGGGTCGACGTTACCTTTTTTCTATCTCCTCAGTGAGTGGATGGTTTGTAGTCATCTGTTGGTCACCATTATCCTTCACTTTTTCTCCTCAATTTTTTGAGTTGATAATGATTTATCTCAGCTTAGGGCTCTACCACAACAGAGCTTTATCTTTTGTTTACCAGTGATTCATTTTCCTGGTTGGGTTTCTCTTTTGTTCCATGTTTTATGTGCTACATCCTCAATGGAGTTTTGTACCCTTTTTAGACATGCATTCATAATCATAAGCATTTCATGGCATCTTAGGGCCAAAAATAGGGCTTGTTTTATATTTAAGTATCTTCAATCGCGTCGACACAAAGATATTAAACCTTTTCATATCCGGATAGAAGACACTTAAATAAGGGCAGATGTTGTACCCAAATTTTTGACCCTAAGATCCCTCTATGAATCATATCAACTTAATCATAACAAGATCACACACTAGGATTTGGTTCTTCTCCCTATCTTTAGCTTTTCTCTATGGGGAATCACCGAGCACTTTGACTTCTATTTTGTGATCATCTATGTTTTGATTATCCTTTAACTAATGAATACAATAAGTGTTTTCCCCAATTGATGATGATTTTAGGAGAAAGCACAATACATTCCATCAAGATTGATCTATAGATTCATGAGTTCATTTATATGCCTTCCTCATCAAAGCTTCATTGAGACTCAAGCCTCAACATTGAATATTCTTAGAAGAAATATAATCACAAAGTCTATTATTATTAATCATACTTCAAGTTGTCAAACATGGTTCAATGGTACAAGGATTGAGTGAAGAATTTTGACTCAATTGGACAAATCCTTGATTGATTGATCATAAATGCACATCACCTTCAATTCACAAGATTTGAAAGTGGTTTTGGTTGCTATGGTTTCTCCTTGTCATCCTCAACAACTCATTTTCACATTACAAAAGTATTTGTCTAAAGAGGTAGGTAAAAATTGCAAAGGTTTCCCAAGGCATTTTCTTGCTCTATGAGCTAGGGTTTTGAACTTCAAAAGGGCATATCTTACTCATATTTTGGTATTTTTGAATGATTCCAAAGACATGCTTCTCTTAAAAGGGTTATTAACAAATAACTTCAAAATTTTCAAGGAAATTTTATATGGACGAAACTTGATGATGAAGAAAGATTACAAGTCCTCCAGATGAACCCTCAAATTCCATTAGGTGATTTCAAATGATCATAAATTGGTCAATTTTTATCACCTTGAGCCTGTTCTTTTTCCATAATTATCTTTAAAATATTAACTTCAACCTATCTTTTAAGTGAAAAGTGTGAAAATGGATGGAAGATTCCCTAAGGATGAAAAATATTATAGGTCATTTCATGAATTGTTTACAACTTCAACAAGTCATAACTTTCTCAATTTTTGGAGATTTTGAATGGTTCAAATATCAAAATGTCATTCAAGAGATATACTTCATGCCATATTTTTTGGTCAAGAGAAAATTTCAAGTGGAAGTCCATGTTTGGATGCAAGAGATTATAAGTCATTTTGGAAGAAAAACAGAAATTTTCTAAGTATAGAAAGTCAACCTCTTTTTCTCAACTTTGACTCATTGCAACTTTCAGCTCAAGCATCCATTTGATCCCATTCTTTTCACATTATAAAGCTTGTAACTTCATCTTTCTAAAGCTTCAAGAATAATTTCTTAAGACCCCTTGAGTTGAGAATGCCATTGATTTGAATTTGGTAACTTGAAACTTATGTTTCTCCAAAAGTCAGAATTTCAAATTCTTGTTTTGGCTTTTAAACACAAAATTGTTGTGCGCTTTTTCTTCTAATCACGTTTAGTGGACCTCTAGAAGTGATTAGCATGATAAAACACAAGGATTGGATGAGTTTTGATCAAATTACAAGTCACACGTTTCTTGTTTGCAACTTCAGGAGATTGAGATAAGGCGTTTAATCTTCTAGTTACTGAGCCCGTTGTCGATGGTAGGAAATGTAAGTACGAAGTGCGCCTAAGAGGGGGGGTGTATTAGGTACTTTAAAAAATTCCGGTTTTTAGTGATGATGGTTCTTATTTTTCTGGTTAATGATGATTTTAGGAAAGCATAAAATGTAGAAAAATAAAAGACACGGGCGATATATCGTGGTTCCCCTTACAGTCCGAGAGTACTCCAGTCCCCTTTCAACATGAAAGAGATTTCCTTATTGTGGCAAACTTAAACAAGAACTACCAAACAACCAAGAAAAATCCTCTTGGACCAAGAACAATCCTCTTGGATTTTCACTATGTTACCTATGAGAACAATCCTCTCAAAGTGACTACACTTGTATCCAACAACTTTGCAAAAAAAAAAAAATTTCAAAAAAACACTTAAACTTATTTCCAACAATCCTGGAAAAATAAGTAAGTAACTATCAATTTTTGAGTTTGAGTGAGTAGAGTAGTATTGATCACTTGGAGTGATTTAACAATGTATGATCTTCTCTTCCAATAATATTATTGTACAATAACTCAAGATATAATTGCTCAAAGTTTTCTGTTTT